AGATTAATTTTTACTTTTTCATGTGAAAATTGATATATAAAATTAAGTTAAGCATTGTATAGGAATGAGTTGATTTCATAATTGAATATGTAGAAATAGTAGACCATAGATGCTAAACCCCAAAATCACTAAATTTTACATTTTTGGACCAAATTTAGAATAGTTTGGAGGGATTTCACTGTTGTAGAAAGATGTTGAGATAAATAGGGATTGTGTGAAATTAAAAATCTTTTATGGATTGTGTAAGGTCAATTTGACGCAATTGGGTGAAAATCTCAAGTTAGATATCATTTTACTTGAATTGTTGTTAAATAAGGGATGTTGAACTAATCAAGGCATTAAAAAAAATTATTAGAGAATTTCTCTTCGTAATCTTTATGACTCGAGCAATTAAGTTTGCAAGGATCTTTAAAACCTAGTGCCCTATAATCATCTGATTTTGAAGTCATCGGCTGAAAACTTGTTATATGGGTCATTTAGAAACTTTAAGGGGAGAATGCTTCAAATAAAGAAAAAATTATTCTTATAAAAGAAAAATTCAGAAAAACAAGTGCATGAAATAGAAGACCCACCAAATGCATTGATTAAGTTTCAAACACTTGTTTAAGAAAATTCGACTTTTGATAATAGATTATTAGTCTATCTAAGTCCTAGAGATTGAAACAATCAAATTTAATGGAGAATCCTTATTTATTGAAATGTTGAATGGCAATTGGTGAAATTTTGTCAAATTAGAGAGGTGAGAATAGCAAAAAAAAAATCTAATATTAGTTCACATACTGGAACATAGTGAAAATAATAAGTTTGGGGTGTGTGAATCTTACGAGTGATGAAAGAACGTATTTGATCATTGAGAGTCGAAAATTGAAGCAACTTATGAATTCACAATGCTATGCTTGATTCTTTACACACACACATCAATTTTACATTGGAAAAATGTATTTTAATTTTTTTTATTGTGATTTTGAAACTGTGAATAGATTTATTATTATGATTTTAATTCTAAAATAAAAAGCCATGTTAACTAGTTAATTTTGTTGCTTTATTTGATTGACTGGCCACCAATTAGGAAATTAGCACTGCTTGTTTGCGCGTTTGTTAAGTTTTAATTTTGTTTGAAGACAAACAAAGATTAAAATTTATGGGTGTGATAAGTGTAGTTTATACAATTATTCGTAACCCTAAATCATAATATTTTATTGTCTCTTGAATTAAATTCTACATAATTTATATTGTATTGTGTTTTGTAGGTAATATTTTATGTTTGATGAAAAATTAGAGAAAAGAATTCAAAAATGGCAGAATCCAAAGGTGAAACCTTGGAAAGAAATAATACATTAAATAGGTTCGAGTTAAATGACTCTCAATAGACTTGCATTGAAAATTTTAATTGAATGCCCAAATTAAACTTATTTATATATAGACACATACATGTATTAGAAAGAAGGGAAAAAAGCGAGACATGGAAGAAAAAAAGACGAGAGGAAACAGACAACATACAGAAGAAACAAGAGAAAAACGCAGAAAAGTGAGAAGAGAAAGAAAGGAAGAAGAAAGAGCGAGGAAGAGTCACACAGGAGGAAAAAAAGGGCAGATAAAGAAAGAAAAGAGAAAAAGAAGAAAAAAAAAGAAGGAAAAAAAGAAGAAGAAAAGAAAAGAAACTACAGGAGATTTTCACGTTTTATCAATTTTTGGTGATATCTTCTCACTTTTACTTGTTTTTATTTTTACAATATGAATAACTAATTTTTGTATATTGAAAAACAATATAGTCGACTTGTGATCCTTTATTTTTTATTCAAGATTTCTATGATTTATTTATTTATGTGTCGCTTTTATTATAAGTTTAATGTATTAAATTACTAATCAATAATTTGATGATTATGTGAGTCTTTTACGAATCGAGGGGTGAGTTTAAGATTTAAAGCATATAATAAAATCTGATAAATTAGTATAACTTGTAGAGATACATATACTAATTATTGCAATTATAATATGAATTCTTAGAATTAGTGTTTCGTTTAACTAAAATTTATTCACATAGAGATATGGAATTAAATTAGTTAAATAGATTTAATGAGAACTCGAGAGAAGTAAATTGAATACAATAAACGAATTCGATTGAACACTATATTAGGTCATAAATTAAGAATAAATGTGATCAATAGATGAAATTGTTATTTCCTAATATTCATCACATATTTGAATTTTCAATTATCTATTGTTTGCAATCTTTTTATATTTTTAATTAGTTAAAAGTAGTTAGGAAAAATAATCACGATCATTATAATTATTTATTTATTTTTGTCAAATAGGAGTTAGAAAAACTAAATTAAGTCATAAAGTACAGTATTCGTGGGAATGATATCCGGATTCAAAAGTCCAATATACTACTTGTTACGATATCGTACACTTGCGATATAAATAACGCAACAAGTACTAACATATATATCCTCTATCATGACAACTTGTTGGCCAATGAAATATCATAAGATATACCTTTCTCCATGGATAACCTTATTTCTCGGGGAAAAACGAGAAACTAATAGGGACATTGTCAATATTTGCATTTATTTTCTTTGAACAATTAGCCGTACTTACGGTTGGAAAATTGATTTTAATTAATTGATTTGATCAACTTTTGATCAATTATTTTAGTGGTCCCATAAGTTGGAGAAAAGATTTATTTGGTCGAGTGTGTTCTATTCCATGAGAAGATTAATATAATGTATTTATTTTAATCTTCTCAAAATCAACTTAGGTTGAATGAAAAATTAAGGCCAAAAGATGACTATTTAAAGTTAAAATAAATTGGGAATAAAATTTGGTGGAAAATTGGAAAATGACAATCCCAAGTAGAAAAACTAGAAAAATGGAAATCATTTTATATTGCTCAAGTTTGAGACTTGGGTTTGTTTATTTATATTATTTATTTTTCCAAATTTTTTGTACGCGACACGTGACATCTTTTAGAAATTAGCGGTTGACAGTTGAACTGCCTGTCCAAGGGTTATGTCTATTGAAGACGCACATTTCGGCCGTTGTGTTTTTTGGATACAACTTTTCAACTTGTACATAAAGGTCCCCATACCCCGAATTTTACTCATTCCAAATCATTTATGATTTTTCTCTCTTATAAATTATATTTCTTCATTCCTACATAATTCCATATTTTACATTTCGATCTCGAATATTATTTTCATACATTTTAGTCCTCCAGTTTTAGATAAATAAAAAAGTTAATAGGTTCGCCAGTCTTATCATTTGAAATGCTACTATTACAAGTTTAGATCATTGTATCTTGAGAGAAGAGTGTCAAAAGACCGTCACACCAGTGCGGGGCATTATTATTTTAAGGAGAAATAGTCGAACTCTTGTTTCGACCATTTTCATTTTATTACATTCATTTTTGCAAGTTGGTATTTTGCCCAGCTATTTATTCATAAATTATTGCACGGTAAAATTATTATTTGCCAACACCTACTTCACCATTTGGGCATTTTTTCTTGAGCAGTATTGTCCACATTTGCAAGAAATCGTTTAAGGGTTTTTTAGGAATCTAGCTGCTATTGTTAAAATCTAAATTGGTCCTCCATCTTTTATAAAAATCTAAATCGATCATTCCATTTAGTAGAAAAGTGTTTTGAAAAGCTAAAGTAAAGGGATACAATTCTTCTAGGAGAAGCATTTTTCAAATTAGAATACTTTTTATGTAAAAAATGCGTTGCAACTTGTAACTGAAAATTTGGAGCATGACTTG